TTATGTTTCCATTGGCTTTTTAACCAGTTCCCTGCGTATTGTCAAATGATGGGTGGGTGGGACACTCATCATTCCAGGTGAACGTCATATGACATCCTCCCTGGAACGCACCTCACGAACACAGCGGATGACCAATCACTGTACTGGCCGCTGCCGGTACCATGTGATTGCTGTGATGAATCACAACAGATCACAGGATAATTGTGCACAATAAATGGCATTCATTCATTGTGTTGATCTCTGTGATTGGTCACAGTTATCACATGGTGCAGAACGGGGCAATCACAGCCCAACTGTACCATGTGATTAGCTGTGGCCATTCACAGCTAACAATAATAGTTAATACTGAATGAATCGATTTAATTTAGTAAAAATGGTTGCTTATAACAGTGAAATTTTACTGGCATAAGGAAGGCGAAAAAAAAAAAATCCTGATCACTTCCCCAGAATAGTACAGTGTTACTATGGTACTGGTCACGGTATGTAAAAAAAAGTATGTAAAAAAAGTCACAAAAATGTGATAAAATAGACCAAATACACATTAAAAAAAACTGAAAAAACTTTTTTTTTTGCATCCTATCACCAGTCAGACAATAACTGGTGTAGCAGTGACAGTATGTAAAAAAAAAAAAATTTGAAATTTTCTTTTTAAATTCCTTCATTTTCTAAAAATTGTGACAAAAAATTACAACTTCAAAAAACTTGCCTTGCCTCCTATTGAATACCTTGGACTGTCTACTTTCTGATATGGGGTCATTTGGGGTATAATTGCACTGTCTTGGCGTTTTCAGGCCTCAAGAAATGTCAGTACATTCAGTTTGATCGATTTTCAGATACCATAGTTTTTTGCCTCTTTACCTTTCCTACAGACTAAATAATATACACTGATTTGGGTCTAAAGTTATGAAGAAAAATGATAAATTTGCAACATTTTATAACAGAAACAAAAATGTGTTTTTTTTTTTCAAAATTTACATTTGTTTTTGTTTTATTTAGCAAAGAATAGAAAACCCAGTGGTGATTAAATACCAAAAGAAAGCTCTATTTGTGTGAAAAAAAGGATAAAAATGTAATATGGGTACAGTGTTGCATGTCCACGCAATTGTCACTGAAAAGTGCAACAGCACTGAAAGCTGAAAATTGGCCTGGGCAGGAAAGGGGTGAAAGTGCCTGGTATTACATAGTTACATAGTTAGTCAGGCTGAAAAAAAGACTAAAGTCCATCCAGTTTAACCATAAAAAAAAAAAGTTATAATCCTATACCCACAGTTGATCCAATTTGCTCCTGCAGGGAAAAAAATCCTTCCTGATCCCCCCAAAGTATTGAAATGGTTAAAATAAAAATGCAATAATAAAAAGGTTTGATATAAAAGTTTAGTGTAATGTAACACTTTTGGTAGTCAAGTATTAAATATTTTTATAGGGGTCTAAACATATATTCTAAAAGAGAGACAACTGAGGAGGAAAGGGAACAGAGAATTTAGTTCCAAAGGAGGACAGTCTGGCTATGGGGAGTCCTCAATCCTGTGCAATTTAAAACTCTGGAAACCCAATGCTCAAACAAGGGCTTTCTTTGCTTGCAGCAGCGGAAAAGAACAGCAGGGGTGGGAAAGGAAGGTAATTATGAGCTGCTGGGAAGGGCTAAGTTAAATCAAACTGATTACTTTGGAAAAAGCCCAAGTTCAATTTAAATGGGACTGGTCTCATAAAGGGTACTGTGGTGCTGTGGTGGTGTTTTTCTTTTTGTAGTCCCAGAAAGCTGGTGTTTTAGTTACAGCAGCAGTGATGCTGGTTGACATGCTGGTCAAGGACAGTTTGCTATTCATATCTAGGTAAGGACAAAAGACTGCATGCTATTATTCACAAACAGGTTTCCGACAATGAGGGACGAGCCAAAGGACTGCATGGTAGCTTGAAAAATAGTAACAAAGTTTAGCAATGATTTGTTAAAGCAGAACTACCCTGTATCTGAGCACCACAAACTGAAAATGCTGATTCATTTTTAATATTCACCCTACCATGTCTCTGTTTTATTTTGTTAAGAAAAAACACTTTGTAAAACACCCCCTAGCAGATCCAGCCGTGGTCATCTTGAGTAAAGCCAGCCATACATGGATGGATCAAAATTCACCTGCTTTAGCAGGGGACTAGATGTAGTCCAATCCAGGTATGGGCAAGCTGGTTGTACACAAATCAATCTATCATGTGTACAACCAGCCTGTTGGTTTTTTTCCTAAACATTCATTGCCGCTGGCTATAGCCGGCAGCACTGATCAATGTATTCTAATGGCGAGGATGTCTGCCTGCCATCAGAGCACAACAAGCACAGGAATGATTCACCCATCCACCTCAAATGTGTGGATAAGGGAATCAAATCATTTGTTTTGTTCAACCCGCTGGTTAAATAAAAAAAAAAAAATAGGTATAGCTAGCCTATAGGCAGATGATTCATATAGTATTTACTTCCTGGAATCCATCTTCCCTTAGCTGAGGCATGCAGGCAGGAGGGTGTACTTAGCTGAGAATGCCCCCCCCTCCCCACCCCTAGATGAAGCAAAAATGCTAATGATGAATCCTGGGATGTATGCATTGGTGTATTTAGGTTTTTTGCTGCTCCATATGAAGGAAAAATATATTTGAAATATATTTTAAAAATATTCTTCCCAAATATATTGACATATATTTGAAATAATACAATTTTGGCCATATTCAATATATTTCAAAATAATAAAAAGTATGTGAACCCCTTGGCCTTACGTGGAGTTTTGCATGAATTGGGCATAAAGTGTGCTCTGAACGTCATTTAAGTCACAACAATAGAAGAACGCAGTCTGCTGAACATAATACTACACAAACATTAGATGTTGCCATGGTTTAATTGCACATAACATGTAAACATTCACAGTGCAGGGAGGAAAAAGTATGTGAGGCCCCAGCTTAATGACTTCTCCCACAGCTAATTGGAGCCAGGAGTGAGCCAACCTTGACTCCAATCAGTGTGATGATATTGGATGTGTTGCTGACAGCTGTCCTGCCCTTAAAAAACACACACCTTTTTTGGGTTTACTGGTTTCAAGAAGCACTGTCTGATGTGAACCATGCCTCGCAGAAAAGAGCTCTCAGAAGACCTACGATCAAGAATTGTTGACTTGCATGAAGCTGGAAAGGGTTACAAAAGTATCTCCAAAAGCCTTGATGTTCATGTGTCCACGGTATGACAGACTGTCTACAAATGGAGAAAGTTTAGCACTGTTGCTACTCTCCCTAGGCGTGGTCGTCCTGTAAAAATTACTGCAAGAGCACAGCGCAGAATGCTGCATGAGGTAAAGAAGAATCCCAGAGTGTCAGCTAAAGACCTACAGAAATCTCTGGCACATGCTAACATTTTTGTTGACACATCTACAATAAGGAAAACATTAAACAAGAATGGAGTACATGGGAGGACACCACAGAGGAAGCCATTGCTGTCCAAAAAGAATATTGCAGCACGATTGAAGTTTGCAAAAGAGCACCTGGATGTTCCACAGCACTACTGGCAAAATATACTGTGGACAGATGAAACCAAGATTGAGTTGTTTGGAAAGAACACACAACACTATGTGTGGAGAAAAAAAAGGCACAGCACACCAACATCAAAACCTCATCCCCACTGTAAAACATGGCGGAGGGAGCATCATGGTTTGGGGGTGCTTTGCTGCCTCAGGGCCTGGACGGATTGTTGTCATTGATGGGAAAATGAATTCCAGAGTTTATCAAGACATTTTGCAGGAAAACGTACGACCATCTGTCCGCCAACTGAAGCTCCGCAGAGGATGGGTGATGCAACAGGACAATGACCCAAAGCATACAAGTAATTCAACAAAACAATGGCTGCAACAGCACAGAATACGCCTTCTGGAGTGGCCCAGTCAGAGTCCTGACCTCAACCCGATTGAAATGCTGTGGCATGATCTTAAGAGAGAGTGATTCACACCAGACATCCCAAGAATATTGCTACACTGAAACAGTTTTGTGAAGAGGAGTGGTCCAAAATTACTCCAGATCGTTGTGCAGGTCTGATCTGCAACTACAGGAAACGTTTGGTTGAGGTTATTGCTGCCAAAGGAGGGTCAACCAGTTATTAAGTCCAAAGGTTCACATACTTTTTCCTCCCTGCACTGTGAATGTTTACATGTTATGTGCAATTAAACCATGGCAACATCTAATGTTTGTGTAGTATTATGTTCAGCAGACTGTGTTCTTCTATTGTTGTGACTTAGATGACGTTCAGAGCACATTTTATGCCACGTAATCCCAAGGGGTTCACATGCTTTTTCTTGCAACTGTGTATATATATATATATATATATATATATATATATATATATATATATATACTGTGTGTTGAAATGCGTTTTTACTAAATATATTAAAAATATTTTTCTAAATACATTTCAAATATACTGTGTCTTTAAAAATACAAATTTAAATTTTTGGAATGCATTTACAAATATATGTAAAAATATATGTTAAAATGACTTTTTTATATGTTAAAAAAAAATCTGAAGAATGTATTTAAAAAATATATATTTTAAAAAATATTTGTCATGTATTTTGTAATATATAAAAAACGCATTTTAACATGCAGTGTATATATATATATATATAAATATATATATATGAAATAGATTTTGAAATATATTGAATATGGCCAACATTGTAGTATTTCAAATATATGTCAATATATTTGGTAAGAATATTTTTTAAATATATTTAAAATATATTTTTCTTCCATGTAGGGCCCTAGGCAACACAAAAATCGTCTGCCCCCATGGACACCGACCAACACCAACCCCCCACCCCCCCCACCTCCCGTGGAGAGAGCCTGACATTGACCAACAACACCCCTGCCCCCCACCTGGGAGAGCCTTCAACTACCCCCCCCCCCAGAGATAGAGAGAAAGACACTCCTCTTCATCTCCGGACATCCCTGGGAATGAGAGTCAGGCTCTACATACACCATCAAGCAGCCCGCAGCCTCACTCGGATCCCACCTGGATCCCATGGAGCACGTATGACTTCTTTCATCCCTTCTTCTGGGGGGAGGTGCTTCCCCCCTGAAAAATGCCGCCCTAGGCAAGTGCCTTGTGGTAAATACTCCCCTGGATGTAGGATGCCATTTTGGTCTAGGCCAGAAACCAGGAAGCAACTAAAGAAATGTAAAAAAAAAAAAAAAAGTTTAAAATGAGTAAATATAATGTACCTTCCTATCTATTTACTAAAGCTAGGATTACAAATAGTTAATGCTGATTGAAAGAATTTAGTTCCTCTTTACGTTTTGCTGTAAGTATGTAATACTGTTCATCTTTAAGACATTAGCAGACATGACATCAGCTTTTTTGAAAAACACCCAAGATTTATACTGTATTTTACTCATATTTCTTTGACAGGGGCTCTGAGACTGCCAATTTAAGGATTTTTGAAATCTATACACTGATTTTATGGTCTAATGGTCTAAGCCTGTAACTAATGACCTTTTCTCTCCTGATTATTGTATGTCCTTTTTTTCTTCTACTAATACGCAGCATACAGCTACAAAGTGAAAAGTGGCATAACAACATAGAAACGATTATCTAAGGTGACTCTGGTAATATTAAATACTAAACAATAATGTATTTGTTTTATGTAGATATAGAGCATAATATGATTATATTTTAAAGAGGTGTATACACATTTGTTTCTGGCCTACCCCCACCACTTATAATGATTACAGCATCTATAATGGGGGATAAGAGCTCTCATTTCACTACTCCCGCAATCAATAACATGCTCAGCATCACCCTCTAGAGATCTTCCATCTTTATCCTGGATGGTACATTCTGGCTCATTCAGCTTATTTAACCCTTGCACCATGGGAAATGCCACAGACCTTGCAGAATGCAGAGTCAGGGTTTTGTGGAAGCTTTTATTACTAAACTAAAGCATTACTGGGCTATGCTCAGGGAACTGAGAAAAAAAAATCATGGTGTTGCTTAGCAGCAAATCAAACGTTATCTGTCGTCTTCTAACTGGCTCTTAATTTTCTTCTAATTATTTATTTATTTGTATTAATTATTGTAATATAAGGCTTGCCATACATTATACAATTTAGATTTACCAAAAACCATATAATAGGAGGTAAAAAAAACTAACAACACTTTCAATTTTATCCAATTAGGCAGACCCTTGCACTATATAGTTGAAGGTAAATCTAAAGGAAATTGGGCAGAAATTGGACAGAAAATTGTATAGTGTATGACCAGCCTAATGCTGTGATAAACCTGTAGTCCTCTGACATACATCTGTGTTTCCACTATCAGCGGATGATTGTTGGCAAGTGAGGAGTGTACACAATCAAGGGATAGAACAGGCCATGTGATCTATCATCCACCGCTACTTAGAGTGATCCATCAGCAACAGCCATTTATGGTTTTATGTAATAGGATGAGTAGAATACAGAGTACACTAAGCAACAGCAAGCAATTAGCAATCATGTTCCATTATACCAAATGATGAAAAATAAAAGCTTATTGGTTGCTATGGGTTACTGAACGATAGTATTGATGTTTTAAGTATTGCAGTATGCATTATGTATGGCTTTAACAAGTTGGCTGAGCTACATGCTACAAAAAGCCTCAATGATATTTAATGGCCAGTTTTATAATTGTTTAGGGCAACTCCTAGGCTGATGTGGGAGCTAGGTCTACGTTGTCTTGAGAAAACAGTTATGACCATCTGGTTTTTTAGATTTGGATAGAGCAGCCTTTTTCAACCTGTTTTTCCCTAGAGCAGGCTTCCTCGACCCTTTCACCCTAGAGCAGGCTTCCTCGACCCCTTCACCCTAGAGCAGGCTTCCTCGACCCCTTCACCCTAGAGCAGGCTTCCTCCACCCCTTCACCCTAGAGCAGGCTTCCTCGACCTTTTTACCCTTGCAAAACCCTTGAAATAATCTTCAGGTCTCAGGAAACCCTACTTAACCGCCTCCTGCCCGCCATATAAGGAAATGACGGACGCAAGGCGGTTCTCTCATTCTGGGAGGACGTCATATGATGTCCTCCCACTCTAACTGCACATACACGCCCCGGGGGCCCGTGGCGATCGCAGGGACACAGCCCATCACCGATCAGAGGAAAGAGCTGATGTGTCATGTGATCAGCTGTGTCCAGTCACAGCTGATCGCTTGTAAACATGGAAATGCTGGTTATCGGCATTCCTCTCCTCACGCTGCCAGTGCGTGAGGAGAGAGTGAGCCGTAATCGGCATTCCTCAGAGGGTACATGTACACTGATGATCAGGGCATTGATGATCAGTGTAGCCCCATCAGTGCCACCTGTCAGTGCCCATCAATGCAACCTGTCAGTGCCACCTTTCAGTGCCCATCAGTGCCACATCAATGCCACATATCAGTGCCCATCTGAGCTGCTTTCAGTGCCGCCTATCACTGCCAGTCAGTGCCGCCTATCAGTGCCCATCAGTGCAGCCTATCAGTGCCCATCAGTGCTGCCTAACAGTTCCAGTCAGTGTGCCGCTTATCAGTGCCATATGAGTGCTGCCTGTCAATGCCCATCAGTGCCACCTACCAGTACCTCCTCATCAGTGCCGCATATCAGTGCCCATCAGTGCAGTCTATCAGTGCCCAACACTGCAGCCTCATTAGCGCACTTCAGTGAAGGAGAAAAATTACCTATTTACAAGATTTTATAATAGAAACTAAGAAAAAACTTTTTTTTTTTCAAAATTTTCAGTAATTTTTTGTTTGTTTAGCAAAAAAAAAAAAAAAAAAAAACAGTGGTGATTAAATACCACCAAAAGAAAGCTCTATCTGTCTCAAAAAGTGATAAAAATTTCATATGAGTATAGTGTTGTATGACCGCGCAATTGTCATTTAAAATGCGAGAGCGCTGAAAGCTGAAAATTGGCCTGGGCAGGAAGGGGGATGAAAGTGCCCGGTAGGCAAGTGGTTAAACCAGTTTATTGGAGATCAATGGGAAAAATGCACCTTACCTTGGTGGCCAGTAGGAGAAATGCCCTTACAGTGACTGTCAGTAGGAGGAATGCCCTTACAGTAGTGGTCAAAATGCCTCGTTTACAGCCAAAGAGATGATTGGCGGCTGGCTCTGCCAAGTGGCATTGGCTCTGGAACTATGCAAGTACTATCGAATGGAAAGTCAATCAGCCACAGTTCAAGCATACCCTAGAAACCTGTAGAACAGTCAGTGGTGACTTAAAGTCACCACTCTCTGTTCAGAGCGGCTGTGAGAAATCAGCGTTCATGTGCACGCTGAGTTCTCACACTAGAGCCGGCGGGGGACTGATGCAGCATCAGTCCAATGCTGCATCCACCCAGGTAAGTATAACAAAATCCCTAATTCTCTTTTAATGGAACAAGCTGAGGTTAGAACCTGATAGGTTTCTATGCAGAAGTGAACCTGATTTTGCATTCTCCAGCTTAAGGCTCCATTCACATTTATGCGACTTGTCATGCGCCCTTGGGGTCCAAAGTCGCACGACAAGTCGCCCCCCATGTTTCCCAATGGGTACCATTCATATCTGTGTGACTAGTTCCTGCACTACTTTGGACCAACTTTCATGCAACTTGAGGGCCATAGACGTCTATGCAAACCCTCCAGAGTTGCATGAAAGTCACACCTGAATGTTGTACATTCGACTTTTGTGCATCTTTGTACAGCAGAAGCAATTATCCCTGGTCAAAGCCAAAGTCGCACCAAAGTCGCACTCATCCAAAGTCGTGGTCGTGCCAAAGTTGCATTAAAGTCGCAATGAAAATCACATGATTTTGAAGTTGCACAAGTGTGAAAGGAGCCTTAGTAGATAAACCCTTTTGTCACTGGAAATCAAAGTGAGGGTAAATCTTAGATTGTAAGCTCCAGGGAACAGGGCGGTCCTAACCCTCTTGTATTGAACTGTATTGTTGATGTATTGTCTCCCGTTATATTGTAAAGTGCTGAGCAAACTGTTGGCGCTATATAAATCCTGTTTTATAATAATAATAATAATAATAATAATAAATCCAGAATTTTGAGTTGCCACCAGAACAGGAACAGAGGGAAAATATTCCAGTGAGGATACTTGTCCCTGTGAGAATTTTCCTTACATTGAAAAGATATATCCCATTGAAACTATGGGACAGGAAGTGAAGGGAAATTCCCCTAATAGGACACAGATGGAAAAAAACTGAGAACAGTTTTAACTGTTGTTCACAATATCCAGTATGATAAAATGCCTTTAGATATACTTTATTGGTTGTTCAGTGTTTGACAAAAAGGTTCAGCCTCTGAGAGTCAGTGCAATAGTTTACTTTCCCTTTTTAAATATAAACAAGTACGTATCACATTGAGAATGCTGACTAGTGAGGAATATTAGAATGTGCCTATTCTGAAATGCCATGTACGCTGCCAAGACTTAGTGCATTCTCATTTGGCCAAAGAAAGGATTTGGAAAAAAGTGATAAATGCTTGATTACCTTTTCTCCACACAAAAGGGAATAATCAAATGATGACAGCACATTTTAAAACATGCTGGAAAATCTCTGTGTGCAACATGATCATTTCCTTGAATGAAAGTGTTGTCTCCTGTCGAAAATGGCCTTAGTATGTGTATGTATGAATATGAGTTAGGGACCTAAGATTGTAAGCTCCTTGATGGCAAGGTCTGATGTCAATATACAATATATATGTAAAGCGCTGCGTAAATTGACAGCGCTATATACGTAACTGAAATAAATAAATAAGTGCCTATTTCAGCATAGTTTAACAGTTGTACTTGCAAGCAATATTTGAATTGCCATATACCATTTGTATATACCATGTCATGTACAGAGCCGTAGGTCTGTAGCAGCCTGCATCTGGGGCTGATCATCCGCAGGTAATTGCTGCATGAGCAATTACATGTGAATGTCCGCAAGTAGCTGCGGATCCTGTCTGACTTGCATTTTTTCCAATGGGGCTTCTTGCAGGAAACTCCATTGAGTCTCCTGTGGGTAATCACAAATGCCCCTTTCATAAGTGTGAATGGGGCCATAGACTGACTATTTACATGGCGACAGTCAAGCCACTCTTTAATAATTTTGTAGCAGTTGCGAATCATGCTTGACTTTGTTTGACCTGTG